GTACATAAGGGTTCTGCAGGCCGTAGGGGGGGAGTTACAACTCAATACACCCCGGATTTGCCAGGATCTGCAAGGATCTACATACATACAGATCTTCCGTACTACCACTCCCGCCTAGTACATCACCCCTCCTACTAAAATCGTCGAAAGTGATCTTTCCTGATCTTTGAGAGAGTGTAGCTCCTTCATTATTTGAGCTACATCGACAAACAAGATACAGAACTCATCGCCTTTATAAGACGTATCCAGCGCCACCTTCCTTTCCATCCTCACTCAACTCCTTCACCCAGTTTCAGTAGCAAACACCGACCTCTCAAGTTTTCGACCAAAAGTAGCTTGAAATATTTCATTCTGAAAAGTTGAGCGTGTTCCTTAGCTTCTGAACTTATCTCTCGAACAAAAAATTTCCGAAAAAGCTCAAAAATTGGTTGTGTAACAGTGTCCGCCGTCAACAGCACCCTTAGCGCTAACATCCAAAACTTGGAAGTACACGACAAAAACACTGCGCCAAGAGACAATAGAGCCCAATCTCCTCAAACAACTAATAGGGAAGCCTCAGTAGTTGCCTCAGATAAATCCTCAGGTAAATTTAACACCTCTACATATTTTTTTATTATCAATTTTCACCGGGTTAAATTTTCCTACTAAGACCTGTTTTCTTTTACCATGTCTCCACCTTCTCTTAGACTTAGAGGTTATAATGGAAGGACCAGAGACGCTCCATCATCCCAGAGAGGATTTCCACCAGCGTCAGTCTTGCCAAAGAATAAAGATAAAATTATTTACGCGTCGAAAAAGAAACTAATATCTCCTACTAACAGTTCCCAAGGAGGAGAAATTCGAGCGCTATTACTACAGGATGAAGACCAACAAGGAATGGCTGAAGGATGTGCGCAACCGCAGCAGTTACTCGGCCATCAGAGCTCATCTAAAGTATTGCCGGGAGGATTTCCAAGCGATGATAGATTTAAGAGGAATGACGACGACCCTCAAAAGAACCAAGGGTTGGAACCCATTAAACGTGTCGGCAGAGAGTCTCCTTCAACCACGAGAAGCGCCGGACCTTCAAGAAGGATCAATGAGACCCCTGAGTCGCAGAGGGAGGAATACCCATTCAAGACACCCAAGGAATACGGGGAGGAACACTCAATGGCGCAGCCAAATCTACGAAGAGATGGTACGCCTTGGGAGATCTCTTCAAGGTACTTATCAACACTTGGAGAAAGGCAAAATCAACCGCCAACACCGCTTCATGGAAGAGGAGCCTTAAATAATTCCCCTACACCTGCGCGTGAAAAAACTCCTGATAATTCTGATAGTGATTCTACTAGTAGGAAATCCAAATTATTGTCTAGTGATTACTCTACGCCTCAAGTCCCCCATGAACATATCCCAATAGAAATTTCTCTACGCAGAGCTGTTAATATGTTTACTGAGAACATGAATTTTTTAGTACAACATACCTTAAGAAATAACAGAAAAATTACCACTGATATGAAGAAATTGTGCCGTAAAATTGAGGGCAGCTGGGATAAAAGAGCTGATGAAGAAGATAATAATTTTACTTACATCAGAGATAAAGTTATGATCATGGAAACTGGTCTTGAATTATTACATAAAGAAATGCCAGAAATGCTTGAGAAATTAGGAGATCAAACCACTCGAGTAATAACCAGAGTAGAAGAAAAATGGGAAGATATACAAAATAATAACAAAGAAATGATCCATAAATTCAATACTATGGAACAATCTTTCCAGAAACTACAAAAAGACACGCTTGAAAAAATTAATTCACAATATAAAAGCTTTGAAGATGTTGTAAACAGGATAGAATTAAATAATTTAAATAACAATAAAAATAATTCCGCCTGCATCATCAAATTAGAAAATAAAATTGAAGAATTAATTAAAATTAACCAAGAGCCTAACAGTTGCCAGAATTTAACATCTCAACATACTGTTCACGGCAAAGGAAAGGATATAC